AAACTGCACGCTCAAACGGACAATAGTCGAAGTTCCCAAAGAGGTGGGTCGAAACCACGGACACCGCGGCCAAACTTCTTGTGCAAGGCAGGATCGGACACGCGCGTGATGTGCTGTAAAGCGCTATGGTCGTCGAAAAGACGAGCTTTTTCCGCAGCGAAAAACTGCTCAGCACACGAGTACACCACTCCATCGACCACAAAAGTCGACGGTGTCCACTGGGAAAAGGGAGAGGGGGGCTGCCAAAAGAAGACCGTGTCAGGAGTACAATACTCGTTAGACGGATCAAACACAGCGGGAACTGCAGGAGCCGAAACACCGGGAGTGTGGTCAGCCGAAGCTGAGGTGGCAGCCGAAGCTGGTGTAGCCGAAGCCGAGGCAACCGAAACGCCCGCATTGTGATTTACGGCATGGACGTCCATGGGGACAGTCTCGGGTATGTCAGAGACCGGCGAAGAATCGACCGGAGCCGGATTGTTCGCAATAATTGGGCCAGCGACATCACGCTGGGTGCGCCCCAATTCTAAACCTGAAGAAACGCCTCGTAAGGTGTCATTCAACAGGCCGCTTTCGCTAGGAACGGCCGCCAAGGCCGGGTCGGTTAAAGAACCAAACCGGGCGTGGTGCTCCTGGCCATTCCTCCGTGACAAGGTGCGCGAGACCGCCGGCTGTTCGGAGGTCACTCCGGGAGGGTCCTCCCGAAGCGGTGGTGTCAACAATGTCGACGTCGGTCGCGGCGGCCTGGTATTGGGCGCCGTGGGGCGAGCGTGCGTCGGAAGGGATGGAGCGCTCGAAGACGATCCATGGTCGAAATATCTCGTGGCGGAATCTGATGGTGTTCGGCGGTCAGGACCAAGAGAACAATGTGATTCGAAGCCAGGCGAATTTGACCCTGCAACTTGCCGGTCGGAACCAGTGAAGTTAGCTACCGGTGCAACAATCGAGGGCAAACCCTCAACGGAAGCGAGCACAGACGAGTTGAGCGTGTCCGAAGATTCACCCGAGGTATCCAATTCAGGCGATTCCTCTTCAATCGTCCAAAGCGCATGGCTACGGCCGGTCTGATCTGCAGACGGCGGGGGGAGCGAACGAGCGGTGCCCGACAAACGAGCGGTACTCAATGGCCCCGAAGGTCCTACGGTTCTGTTCCCGCACCTCAAGACAGCACTCGCGCCAGACTGGTTAGTTTCTGACGGAGCGCCAGCCCGAAGAGGCAGAGACGCAGAGGCGGCAGACGATAAGTGCGATAAAGAAGGTGGGACGAGAACATATGTCTGGATACCGACCTGATCACCACTGGGAGAAACAACAGATACCGAAGTATGGTTGTTATTGTGCGGCACCGAAGTACCAGAAGGGATAACATTCACCAAAGTGCGGTTATCGTTGCGTAGGACCGAAGTGCTATTTTCTGGTGTCCATTGTTAATGCCGGTCGCCCCGGTGGTCTATTATAGTTGGTATCCTCGAAACCTTTTAGAGGTCAGGGCATGGGTTCGAATCCCGGCGTAAGCGAGCTTTTCTTGCAAAGTGAGTTTTTCTCTCGCTTCCGCTCCTGACCTATTTAGTGGATAGCGTTAGTTCGTGTGTACACAGAGGGAAGAGAGTGCTGAACTCTTCTCGCATTAAAAATCGAAGGCAAAGTACCGCAGGAGGGGAGGGTAGAGAGGGGCTCTTCTGTGTGACCACGGGTTGGAGTAAACGGCACTAGTGTTGTGAGCGCTGATTTGAAGTGAAGACAAAAAAAGAGAGGTCCCCTTTGGTGGGTGGGGCAGTTGGCTTGCTTGTGTGACCAAGAAGAAGGCGTCCATGTGTTCAAAGCGTACATAAAAATAGCGGATCGAGGTTTTTCAGAAATATTTAAGGAACTCCATGTTGCTGCTACGGTATAGCTCACATAGAAGTATGTGCCAACAGTTAAAAAGATTCAAGTAGATTCCCCGCCCATTATCCTGGTTCCTTCGGTGTCCGCCACGAGAGGGAGGTGTCGTCACGGCAGCCTTACGATGCTACTGCTGCATGCATAAAATCCGTACGTTGTCATCGGACGCTCTCGTCCCCGGCGTCCATTGCAAGCATGCAAAACGTCACCGGGCAGTCGCGATGTTGCCAACAACACCTCTTGGACTACACGAATGAAAGTGAACGTACAAAAAACGAGTGATTCCAGATAGACCCATCCCGTCGCTACTCGCCAAGTAGCCCCGACTTCTCTCGCCGTCAGAGACACAGGCAGCGCAATGTATTCTTCATCATCACGTACGTCTACATTCACGCACGCCCCAAGCCGCCGCCAAGGAGCTACCAAATACAAACACCCAGCCAGCTAGAAAATTCCAGTCTGCTCATAATCTTGACCACACAATAAGTAATCTATTTTGGTCTTCTTCTACAATACCAAACCCGACAGAATGTCTTTCAATTTTTTCAAGAACAGACGTCTCGGGATCAGACACACCTCAAGGAGAGGACTTCAAAACCTTTGATGCTTTCTGTGGGCCCTAAACTGCGAACACCCCAGATTGGAAACACACTGTTGAGAGTTGTCGGAAGTGCCAACTCAGCGATATCAATTTTCCATGCTCTCCTTCTGCAAAACACAGCCAGCCACGCGGAGAACGGTGAGATTCACGCGGCGGAGCTGAGGGGGCGTGCTTTCATACTGCTCGCCTAAACTCATGTGGCCACCGACCATGCGTCCCCCGTGTCAAGCCAAAGCGCCGCTCCATCTCTAACAGTGACACCTCAACAGGACGCTCGCCACGTTCCAAAAGCTCGTGGTGGGGGGGGGGGGGGGGGGGGGGGGGAAATTTAAATCTAACAATCGGGGACAAGAATAGGGGGGGGGGGGCAAATGCCCACCCTAACAAAA